ATCTTTCTGAGCCTCGGTCTTCTCATCTCTAACATGAGGAAAACAATAGTTCCTTCCTTATGGGACTGTATGAGGTGCAGTGCATGTAAGGCACTTAGCACTGGGCCTGGCACATTGTAAGCATTCTGTAAATGTTAATTATCATCATCTTTCCCCCGTTTCCTTCTTGTCCTCAAATTATTGCTACCCAGGCACAGGGAGGAAGATGGGATATCACTAGGGAGAGATAAGGGAGCAAGATGCCCTGGGTGCACACAATCTAGGAAGCTGCAGGGTTTTCCGCCAGAAGTATGATTGGTGTCTACACACACTGAAGGGGCATCTGCCTGTGAAGTAGCCAGTGGTTCTGAGGCCTGTCTGCATCCTCTCCTCCAGTTTAATCCAATTGTCAGTATACTAGTGACCAAGAGCTGCGAGTCCTCCTCTTGTGAACCATTCTTTCACTACTCTGGGATGGCTTTGAGGTTGAGAAAGCGCAGACTGGTGGTTCACTCTATTCTCATAGATAACTTCCTGAAAGTCAATGCCAGCTTCTTAAGTATTGCCTCTAGCTAAAAGTACTATTTGGCTTTTGTTTGTTGGCTTAATTGAATGTTCTTTGGAGATGTGTATTTTTGTACACTGAAAGTAATGGAATTAACCCTACACTTTGAAGATGATCTTCAAGTTAAAATATCTCACAGCATGAGGAAAGAGGGAAAGGGACAGAGAGCAAGGGTGAGAATGAGATCAAGACTTGAGAGAGTAATGTGTATGTCTGGGTAAGGGAATGAGTTAGGAGAGAGAGAAGCCCAGGCAGTCTTCCTCCTTTATTGCTGGGAAGTCACATCCACAGAGACTGGCCCACATCCTAATTCTGGGCCAACAGCTCCATTGTGCAATACCAAGGATAATTCTAAGTTGTGTTCTTTTGCTTTTCCCTAAGGGATTTTTCTGCAAAGAAGAAAAAGACTTTGATAACTGGTGTAGCCTTGTTCAGAAGGTAAAGCTATATGTTTTTCTTAGTCTGAAAAATGAAGTCACTCAATTTTATTCCTTTTCAAGATTGTTTTTCATAGTAAAAAAAAAAATCCTACTCTGATACGACTTTACTGCAAGAGAAAGAAACTAAGGCAACAAAGAAACTATTAAGGTGTGGGGAATTGTGCATAACTTTGGGGGAACTGAACAAAAATTTTGGTTTGAAGTATCGTTAGCATGTCAAGGGAGTGATATTTTTGGTGATGAAACTTAATGTTTTATCTCATTAATAGAGAATTATTTTCTAAAGGCAATACTTACATTTTAGAATGCAGCAAAGCTGTATTTATGTCACATTTAAAGGTGGAATGAGAATTTTCTGGTAAGACTATGCCTTTTATTTTATTTTATTATCATTATTTTTTGAGACAACGTCTTGCTCTGTCACCCAGGCTGGAGTGTGGTGGCGGGATCTGGGTGCACGGCAACCTCCGTCTCCCAGGTTCAAGCGATTCTCCTCCCTCAGCCTCCCGAGTAGCTGGGATTACAGGCGCCTACCACCACACCCAGCTAATTTTTTTTTTTTTGAGACAAAGTCTCGCTCTGTCACCCAGGCTAGAGTGCAGTGGCATGATCTCCGCTCACTGCAAGCTCCACCTCCCAGGTTCACGCCATTCTCCTGCCTCAGCCTCTGGAGTAGCTGGGACTACAGGCGCCCGCCACCACACCCGGCTAATTTTTTGTATTTTTAGTAGAGACGGGGTTTCACTATGTTTGCTAGGATGATCTCGATCTCCTGACCTCGTGATCTGCCCGCCTCGGCCTCCCAAAGTGCTGGGGTTACAAGTGTGAGCCACCGCGCCCGGCCTAATTTTTGTATTTTTAGTAGAGACAGGGTTTCACCACATTGGCCAGGTTGGTCTCAAACTCCTGACCACAGGTGATCTGCCCACCTCGGCCTTCCAAAGTGCTGGGATTACAGGCATGAGCCACCGTGCCCAGCTAAGACTATGCCATTTAAATTAGGATATATACCATACATGTTGGACTGCCACTGAAACCATGCCAATATGTAGCAATAGTCTCTTGGGACAGATTTAATTTGACTAACTGACATTTCTTTGGAGCCAATGCTTCAGGAACATCTCACCCCTAAAGTGAGCTGGACCCATGCATCTGGCACAGGAACTATGCCTCATGATGGAGAATAGGCAGTGAGTGCTGGCCTTCATCAGATACTCCCCGCAATGTCCTTCCTTCCTGGCCAAACAGTATCTAGAATTGAAGATGGCTGGGTCTTCCGATGGTTCAAGTAGGGGATGCATGTATTTTCTAGGCCCCTATTTTCACCTGGCAACCAGCAGACCACTGTCTCAGGATTTGGGGTCAAAGATTGCCAATTAGAAATGTGACTCTGCAGTATTTAAAACTGTTTCGGTATCTCCCCAGGAAATTCTGAAGGAGAATTTAAGGATGTTTGAATTAGTTCAGAAACATCCATCACACTGGCCTCCCTTTGTACCTCCAGCCAAGCCAGAAGTGACAACCACTGGGGCAGGTAAGCTGTTGTTCAGTGGCTCTCAGCTAGAAGACCCATGTATAGCAATTGTTTTATGAGAAAGAAGGAATTGTGGCCCATGCTTTCTGTGGACAGTAAAATTTCTACTCAGCTGGAGTGATCAAAAAATGGTGCTTCCGATTATTTTAATCTTCAGATGAGCTGATATTTACCAATTTCAAAGAATGATAAAAGAAGAAAATGAGCTCGTTGCAAAAGTTCCATGCAAAATCAAGATGACTAGGATTGCTTTTTCAGGGTCTGGTTCAGGATAGCAAATTGAGGCCATCGATAATTCAAAGGTATCTTGAAGGGCTTGCAGAGCCTTGGCCACATCACCGTCGTTAGGTTTATTTAACAAGTCTGGCTATTTTGAGTCTTTATAGAGAATTCTAATACTTGGCAGTAGTTCTAATTGTAAGTCTCCTCCACACAAGTCTTTCTTTAGTAAAGCAATTAAAAATGCATAGTCTTAACTACTGAGTAACGTATTGATTGACCACTTCAACCCAAGTGTCAAGCTTTTCTTCTTACTCATTTCCATATTCTGATAGAATTCATTGACTCCACTGAGCAACTGGAGGAGTTTGATCTGGAGGAAGATTTTGAGATTCTGAGTGTGTAGAATCCTGGGAACTCAACTTGAAGGTCTGTCTTCCATCTGGCACCATAAAAACATGAACTTATTACAGAAAACTTTTCTAGTCAGCAAGTGCCTATATGCCAATAGCATACAAACTCAATAGCAATCATGACTGAGCCAATCACTGTTTCTCAGAAAAACAAGACAAAACAAATGACAGTAACCCTTCCCTGGAAAGAAATAGAACAATCATGGAGCCTAGGAGCAGACAGATGAGAAGGAGTTCATTGCTTCCCAGCTTGTCTTACATGGCTACAGCAAGTCTTCAGCTGCTGCAATGAGGAAATGGACATCTAGAAGACAGACAGCAACTCTCAGCTTGCTTCAAGCACCAGCAGATAAAAGATGGTTAAGCTGTTCTTCTTCATCCTTTCAGATGTGACCTCTTTGGGACTAAATACTAAGAAGCAATCTGTTCTCTTGCTCAAATAATAAAGTGACTGAATCAGGGAGGAAAAGGTTCTTGTTAAATTATTTGATTGTGTAGTTTAAGTAATTATAATTTATATCAAAATGTTTGTCAAAGAAACGATGTCAAATGTACACTGTTAGATCTCCCTCCTATTTGCGGGAATCTTACTATTTAATGGGTCACTGTCCCCATTCTTACTGATACTTTTGTCAGATGTCACCCTGTCCTTAAATCATGATCACTTAAATCAGGGGTCAGCAAACTTTTTCTGTAAAGGGCCAGACGGTAAATATTTTGGGCTTTGCAGGCCATGTGGCCTTTGTCACATCTACTCAACTCTGCTGTTGACATGCAAAAGCAGCGATAGACAATATGCACGTAAATGAGTGTGGCTGTAATCCAAGAAAACTTTATTTACAAAAACAGGTGGAGGGCTGGGTTTGGCCTGCAGGCTGTAGCTTGCCAATCAGTGACTTAAATTGTTGATTTTTGTTTGGTAAATTAAAAATAAATTGTGTTTGAAAAACCCTACTTGGTTGACAGCCATATTTAGAATTGTTCATGTGGTAAATTACACACTTAATCTGTGCATCATATACAATTCCAAACCATTTGAGGAATAGCAACATAATAGGTTTTAAAGCATGTATTCATCAAATTAGCTTTGCTAACCACTTTCCTGTGAGGATGAACCTCAAGCCCCAGCCATATCTTCCCATTTTCCTTTCCTTGCTCCCTTAACTTGCCTGCATTTCACCCCAATCCTTAATCAAGTCCTGAGGAAGGCCAACAACTGGAAGCTAGCACCAAACCAATTCACTTGTTTCCTTAGATTCCACGTTTTTCTTTTTTCCCCAGTATATTCCAATGGTTCAAAATTCAAAAGATATAAAATTATATTCAGTGACTTGACTCTCTCTCTCAGTTCCTCCCTTGAAAATTCCCAATGGTATTAACTTCTTGTTTATCCTCCCAGAAGATGTATTTTATGCATATATAAATATATGCACACACACACACAGAGCTCGGATTTGTTTTTAATGACTCCAACATTCTCTTTTATTTTATCTACAAATGATCCTAAGGCTGCAGAAGTATGAAAATGCCTTTCTTGAACTCTTTTTTTAATTCAAAAAATTTATTTATTTTTATCAACCTACATCATGCTTTGATATGTTGAACTCTAGCATGTGACAGGGATAAAAGCAGGCATAGGCTTATCTTGAAGCAGCTAATGGGTTTGTTGACTGTTAGAGGACTGTTTCAGCCCTTTGACTTTGATCATCTTCAAATTTTTTCCTGCCTCAGTGTTTTTTTATAGAGTTCGACTTGGCAGTAACAGAAATCTCTCAGGCTCTGAGAGGGACTCATAAATTGCAGTGAGATGGACATTAGAAAAGTTTTCATAAAAGAGCATCAATAAAGAGTCACATGTTCCGATTTCATTTATTTTATTTGCTATGTACAAAACTGACATCATGCTTATTACTCAGGAGGTGAAGATAATAATAATTCAGATTATACTGATTATGCTTTGTCTGTATTGGCACAGTTTATATAATACTTAAGGAAACAGAATCACCTGGAAGAAATTGCCTCATGTCAACATAGCTAAGAGTGTTCTGGGAAACTGGTAATTAAAGAAAATGGCTAAAACAAATTCCCCCAAACAGAATACAGTGTACTGCATAGCCAATTCAGGCTTGCTTCAGGTCTGCTAACTGCTCAAGAGAAGAGTGTGCTAGATTTTTATGAGGTTTAAAAAAACATATTAAAATAGTTTAATAGGCTACCTGTGAAAGAGCAATTGGGCAACCATTTAGCAGAAAGTCTTTAACATCCTCAGAATATAAGGAAACCAACACTGTGCACCTTCAATTTGCCACATTGCACACATCTGGATGGCATTTGGAGTAAACAGGGACTTCTGAGAAACTGGGATGTGGGATTTACCTTTGTGTTCCTGGAGTCAAAAGCAAAATTCACACATCCTTACCCACCCACACCTCTACTCCTGGCCCAGGAAAAAAGGCTGTCATTCTCATTCCCTTTGATAGGCTTGGCCACATTTGTTGCATCCTCTGCTCTACTTTGGACCAGGCCAGGTCCTCTGTCTCTGGCTGGAGGGGGAGCCGGCAAGGAGGAAACGGTTTGTCTAGGACCATATGCCATTAATGACCACCACCCCCAACCCAGCAGCTGGACTTCAAGCCTCCCTAAGCCATATGGGGCCCAGTCTTGCTCATTCTAGAGAGAGCTAAAGCTCACCCTGGGCTACTGGGTGGCACCTCATTTCAATTCTCTTGCCTGCCTAGACACAGTGGGCCTCCTTGAACAGTGAGGACTTGCCCTGTACAGACTTGAGCCATCCATGAATATTCGCATAGATAATTTCAGTGTGGAAACACTGGGTTCTGGTTGAAGCCAAATAATGTATGCTGACCTCTGTACATGAAGAAATGACTGATTAGCGATTAGGGAGAGCTTTTCGATCAAGACAGTGAGGAGAAAGCGAGCAGTGGTGGCCCATCAAATCTTTCTGAGGTAGCCATGAATAGTCACACAATCATCCAAATCAAACAGTAGCACCAGCTTGACGGAAACGGGACAGCAGATCTCAGCAGGGTGGGCTCATCTCTCTGGACCCGAGGGCTGGGATGACGAGTGTCCCGTAGTCTAGCCCAAATGAGACTCCAATGTACAACTTGACAGATAGGCAAAGGGGCTCAGGCCTTCCTTCTTCACACCATTCAGGTTTGTGAGGTGACTGTTGTGAGGGGCAGGGGAGGGCAAGGGGCAGAGTGGCAGGTGCCACCCTACAGGCTTTTCATACACACCTGGCAGCGACTGACTCGAGTGTGGAGCTGCCCAGCTTTCAGCGTTTCAGACACAGGCAACTCCCCAAACTGCTGCCTCTCCTCCACTGTGGTCAACCAGAAACTGTATTTGTTTGCAAAGTAGTGGCAGGTGCCTCGGGCACCACTGCACTCAATGAAAGGGGTGGCCCGAAAGTCCTCTAGGCAGGAGCCAGGTGAGACCAGGGACTGGCCTCCACCCTCGGCACCAGCGGCAGTGTGCTGAAACAGACAGGAGATTCGTGCGTGAGCTGTGCCTGCCACGGGTTGGTGTGGGGAGGGAGGGGTGCTCCGCTTCTACAGGAGGCATATGAGCTTCATTCCTAAGCCCTGGTTCTTTGTCTCAGCCCCCACTTCAAGCCAGCATACCAAGAGCTGTGTTTTAGGGGCAGGGGCTGCTTGTCCTCCCTGATAGCAGCTTTCAGGGCCAAGAGTGCCCCCCTCCAAGCTCCCTAGTGCCCCCCCTAACCCATTATGTGGGCAATGACTACATGTCAAGCAGTAATTCCCAAACTGCTACTGTCCCACTGGGTTCAGAGGTGTGTTAGGTACCCCCTTGCAAAATTTCCACCGACAAATGGATCTGAGAAAGGCTGAGTGAAGGAAAATTCAATAGGCTTCTGGACTGCAGTTCTCAGAGCCCTCTCTTAACCGTGCACTGTACTCTAAGAAGGGAAAGAGGGACAGTCCAAAACACTACTGAAGTTTTCCTTAATTTGTTGTATTTGGCCCAAATGTCCCGGCCCTCACCTCGGAGGGCTCCCTCAGAATTCAGTTTCAGGGCTACACATGAGCTGGTGGTCTTCAGTTACTATTCCCATAGACGGCAGCTTCAGTCTCTCCACACTCCTGCCTCTCTCCCTTCACTTTAGCTGGGCTATCATCTGGACCACAAGGAGATAGGGAAGAGGCCTAATACACAGCCGTGTCAGAAAGTGGCCAATGGGACAAATGCCCAAGTTGGCACACAGAGACTCCTTACTTTGCAGAACTTTGCAAAAGTGAGAGTCTCCATGGGACCTTTCAGGTGACCTTTCCTGACAACTGCAGCATCAAAATTTTCCTCATTTTGACCCTGAGAATCAAAAACTTTCTAAAACGCACAACACATTTTCCTGCTTTACTGAGTAGCAGACACTAGGTTATTTGAAACTTTGCAGATGAATCAGGCTCATCATTGTGAATGTCAGTTTTTGTGGGGGATGATTATGCAAGAGCCCCATACCAAGGGGTACAGCCCATAGAACTCTTGGGCCTCCTTTGAATGATTTTCTTCTTTTTAATAGGTATGTCTCATTGCTTCAGCATGCCTTGCTAGGCAGTCCAACTTCTCACCCTTACATATCTTCAGGAATAATATTCTAGTAGGTTAGAATTAATGTGTAAAGGAAGAGTAAAGAGATTCTGAATAAGGGCTAAGAGCCCTCCCATAAGCAGAGCACATGAGCTTTAGTACACAGCGTTTGTACCATTTCCTGTGGAAGCTCAGGGGCCTCTTCTTATTTCCTGGTCAGGGTGGTGGACAGGACAGAAGGACAGGTGAGGTGGTTCTGTATTACATTGGGATAAACTATCCAATGTCCAAAGACAGAGCATAACAAGGGAAAGTACCTTTCTCTGGGTAGGTACGCTAATGTTAGGGAGCCTGCAGCTTTGGTCGTTTTTTAAAGACACTCTCACCATCTCACCCTTGGCAATTCAACAGAGAAGCTCTGGCAAGGCAGAGTACTTCAATGGGTGCCACAGTGGTTTTCCCTGGGGGATGTCCTGACCCTAAACCTGACCTTTTATTTCCATCCCCAGGTATTCAGAGGATATTATGTAAGGGATGTGATGCCTCTTTGGGCCTGCAGATTATTCTTTTTCTTATCAAGACACACAGCATGGTGGCCGCTGCCTTCCCTCCGAAATGGAGAGACAGCAAAAATACCAGCAAGGACATATAAACACAGCATGCACTCATCAAAGCCTTTTGGGAGGAGATGGCCGAGGCCAGAGGGATCTGGGAGGGTGGACAGAAGAGGGGACAGTGCCATGGCTGGGCTGATTAGTGAGACTGTGTCCTGGCCCCGAGTGGTGACAGCCTCTCCCTCACTGTCCTCTCAGGTCATAGTGTGTTTTGCTCTTCCCTTGGGTGTGGCATAACTGAAGCAGGCATGGAGATGGCGGGGCACTGACCTGTGACTCACAGATATTCTAGCCCCTGAACCACTGGGTGCAAACTGCTGTCTTTCCCCTACACTCATAACTACCTGCCATTCATGCAGAACTGGGTTCTCCATTCTTTAGCCAAGCCCAGTCCAAGCATTTCTCTTCTTTTCAAACTCTATGCTTTCTACCTGGTGTCCCTTGAGCCTGGAAACCAGTCCGAGGGGCCCTTTGCCTCCAACTGGGGGAGGGGACAGTGCAGGACCTTACCATGAGGAAGGAGTACCCAATCCAGAGGCTGCGCCAGCCCAGGGGGCACTGCGGGATGGTGATGTCCTGGCTGTGCACAGCAATGGCTTGCGAGGGTGCCTCACACACAGAGCAGCGGCTGATGTACTGGGGAATCTGGGTCTGGCTGACGGGCATCATGGGGATAGGGGCAGTAGTGGAGAGCCAGTAGGATTTATCATTGCGCCTGGCATAGTGGCACACCTCGTTGATGTTGCAGTAGATGAAGGGCATGGTGCTGAAGCGGGGCAGACAGGAGCCAGCAAAGCCTGGAAGGAGAGAAAATGGGCAAGGGCAGGGAAGGTCTGGCTGAGGGGCTTTGACGAGACAGTGGTTTGGGTTTACATCCAACCACTTGCACCAGACTGAGGCAGCGCTCTCCTTCCAATCCTGTGACATTGTACACGCGCTGAAGTGTGTTGATCAAATTCTATTTTAAATGCACCAGGGAAATTTGATAACAAGAATCTTTTTATAAGCTGTATAATTCTGCCCTAATCTGCTTTGAAAGAAACAGCGCTTAATAGACTGAGTCTGCGTTTAAGATTTAGCACACCTGCAGACAACACAATTCATTCTCAGGTAATCATCACTGCCCTGCAGGTCATATTATTATTGTTACTACTACTAATTGCTAATATTTAATGGATGCTTAAATGCCAAATGTTGCTCTAAGCATTTTACATTGGGTGATTGATTCATGCGATCTTTCCACCAACCTGTGTGATAGGTACTAGAGTTAGCTTTGTTCCATTAAGGAGGAAGCCAAAGCCTAGAGAGGTTGAATAACTAATGCAGTGTACACAGCTAGTAAGTGATAGAGTCAGGATTTGAACCCAGATCCACCTGACTCCAGAGCTGATGCTTGTAACTCATTACACAACAGTGGACCTAGAAAGGGCTGGGAGAAGAGAGGGGTTGGCTGTTGGTGTTTGTGGGGACAAGTGACCAGGGCTGACTGTCAGAGCTGGTACCTACCCAGGTCCTGGTTATGGGCTTTCTCTTGCCCCTCCACGAACAGTAAGCTGTACCCCACCCATAGCTGGCTCATCCCGATGGGACACAGGGGCACCTGTTCCGACTGGCTGTGCTTTACCAACGTGTAGCCCACTCTCGCGCTCTGGCCAGGCATTCCAGGCATCCCGAAGGGGCCTTGCTGCCCTGGAGCTCCTGAGAGAGACAGAGCATAAAAGGTGAGTGTGGTGCAGCTAATGATAACATCAGCTACTCACATTGTGCCACGCATTGTGCAAGGCATGTTATACACATATGTTTTCTCACTCAATCCTCACGATGACCCTGGAAAATGGTATTACCACCCCAATTTTTAGATGAGGAAATTGAGGCTCGGATGTCCTACAGCTAGTAAGTGGTAGAGCTACAACTCTATCTCAGATGTATCCAGCTACAGAGGCCCCAGTTTTCAAAGCACATTGTTAGGCTTCCTTCCCATAGCCACCTGGCCTTGGGGTCTCTCTGAGTGGGGATTAGGGTATGGAGTGGGATACTTCTCAGGTCCAGCCTTGCAGGCCCTCATGGGAGATAACTATGTAGCTGCTGAATCAGAGGCATTAAAAGCAGAGTTAGGATTAGCAGGGTAAAATCTTGCCCTCCTCTCCTGCCCATGACAGATATGACAAATCAACTGCCACAGTTTCCCACCGAGCCTCTGAACTGTTCTCTAGTCAGGACAACTAATTTGTCATCCCCAATGTAAAGTGGGACATAAATAGAAGAGGTATACGGACAGCCACACCTTATCTCAAGTGTTGTTATTCCTTGAACATCCCCCTCCCGTGTGTGTCAGAATCCCTGGGTAGAAAAGGGAAGGCAGGCCGGGCGCGGTGGCTCACGCCTGTAATTTCAGCACTTTGGGAAGCCGAGGCGGGCGGATCATGAGTTCAGGAGATGGAGACCATCCTGGCTAA